CCTGGCGCCCTGCGGGCTACTGGGGAGGGGGCGCCACCTGGGGCCGTTTCCGCGGGTGGGCAGGGAGGCGCTCTGCTGTGCTGAGGGGAGTCTGGGACTCGGACCCCCAGAGAAAGTCACGGGTGCGGTCACCCAGTGCCTTTCCGGGAGCACAGGCATGAGGGACAGCGAGTGGGGGTCCTGGGGGAGGAGCCCGCAGACCTGGATTTGGTGAAACTTGGCGCTGACACGAGCCGTCTGAGAAGTTCCAGACCTGGCCACAGCGGCGGCTCCAAGTGCCCACCCCCTCTGACCCCGGGCCTGCGGCATTGCCTCGCCCGGTTCCCCCAAACCGGGAGAGCCCCCGAGGCCTGGGGGAGGGGCTTGCTCAAGGCCACAGGGCAAATGGGCCACAGAGCCCGGGCTCGCCCCCGCCCCACCCCTTTCACTTTCATTGTTGTTCCCCGCGGGAAGCGGGAAGCCGGAGGGATCGGCCCCGCCCCTGGCCCCGACGAGCTCGGCCGTCGGGCAGAGGTCAGGAACCGGGCAGGCCCTGGGACCCACCCCCAAACGGGAGCCGGGGACCCGAGAAGGTGCTGTCGACAGCATCCAGTTCCCCACCCCGAGGACAACCCCGCAGCCCCCGCTTTTTGTTAGACCTCCTCCGCAAAAGAAGAAAAGCAGAAAAGAAAAAAATCCACTTTACTGAGTCACACCCAGCTGTAAACATGTCACCGTGAGAGTCCCGCCCCCCACCCCCAGGCCGCACAGTCCGCGATGAAATGACGGGGGAGCGGGGAGGGTCGCCGGAGCGGGTGCCAAGCAGGGCAGGGCGGGCAAGTGCAGCAGGCGCTGGGTGTCCGGGAGGAAGCCCGGGGGAGGTGGGGTGGGGCAAGAGCGGGGGCTGGGGGCCCGGCCGAAGACCAGGGGGCCCAGGAAGCCTCTTTCCGAAGGCCTCCCTCTCTCTCCAGCCCCTCCACTCCTCGGAGGGCATCTGCTGCGGCCAGGGAGCGCCCTGACCCAGAATCCCCCCGCAAAGGCATGTCCAACCCAGCCCTGTCCTGTTCCCCTGTGAGCCTCCGGGTCCGTTGGGGGCCTCAGGGGGACAGGTGAGGCCCCCAGCTCCTGAATCCAGCCCTAGGTTTGGGCGGCTCCTTAGGGCGCGGCACGGGGTTCTTTCCCTGGGGCCTGGGTCCCCCCGTGGCCGTCCCACTGGAATGTGGCAGTGAGGTGGGCAAGGAGGGCGCTCGTCCCCTGGCCGCATTGTCCCTCCTGCTGCCCGTGGGCAGCCCGCTACACAGCCGTCTCCTGGTCCTCCCGCTGGATCATCTGGTAGTGCTGCCGGTTCTCCAGGTAGGCGGCCAGCTCGGTGTCCTGAGCCTTCTCAGCCCGCTGCCGGGGAGTGTCTCCCTGGAGGAGGGGGGAGCTGCGATCAGCAGGGGCCAGAGGCAGGCCTACCCGCTAGCAGGCTGAGAAGCAGGGGCT